CATCGTTCTCCAACACGTCGCGTGAGGAGATGCAAGCCGCCGCGGCCCAGGCCCAAGCCCAGCTTCAGTCGCAGACTCAGACACAAGCGCCACCGACAGAGGAGCCGCAAGCGCCAATGCAAGTGGTGCCGCCACCGATCAACTACATTCCTCGCAAGGTCAGCTCCGGCGTTCCCAAGCGCACCCGCTCGCGCTTCAGGGAAGACCTGCCCGAGCTCCCCCTCAGTCCTCCGGACTCGCGCGTGGGGTCGCCGGAAGTGGACGAGCCTCCTCTGCCCATTGTCTCGGAGGCCAGGACCGCAGAAAACACTCTTGACGACGATGAATCCCCCGCCGTCGTCAGGCACGACACTCCCACCTCTGATCTCCGCCGCGTCGACGAAAAGATGGAGAAGCTCGAGAAGATGAGGCAGACACCGACCTCGCTGCGACACAGCATCCAGCCCTCGCCCGAGCAGCCGCAGTCCGTCTCCCTGGCGTCCATTGACTCCGAGGCCTCGTGGCTCTCCGGCCGCATCGGAAACCGCAGGGCGTCGGGCATGCGCGCCGCCAGCATCCAGCGCTTCCAGCCCCAGAATCGCAGCCACTCGCCCTCGGTCAACGACACCGAGGAGGAGCTCGCCGATGACGAGTACCTCTCCAACCTCGCCACGCCGTCCCGCGAGATGCTCGGCGCCGACGACGACGAGCGCACGCCGCGCAAGTCCACGGGCGACGCGTTCCCCAGCAGCGACGAGGAGGAGGTGACGATGATGGACGAGGCGGACATGAAGTGGGGGTCTGTCGAGAGGCAGCGGGCGACGGCGGTCGTGCCGCATCAGCACCAACGGATCAAGAGCCGCGAGGGCTTGCTCAAGACGTTTGAGGACGTCGACAGCCCCGCCACGTCGGCCGAGAACTCCGAGGGCGAGACGCCCCAGCTCCAACGCGCCACGAGCGTGAGCCTCAGCAGGGGCCTCGCCAGGCATGTGAGCTCGGGGAGCGCAAAGATGCTCGAGGTCTCGCCCCGCGCGAGCGTTGACCAGAGGAGGACCAGTGATGCCGTTTACTAAATGAGCAGCTAACACAGATGATGACAGGGGAAGATATTGCCAGCCCAGCACCAGCGAGACGACGATCTTTCAACATTTCCTTATATCTCTATCTACGTCGACAAAACAGATTCGACACCCGACGCTCATTAACCTTTCCTTAACTGTCGTACCGACCATATTCACTCATTCAACTCTCCTAACTATTTCCTTGCCACTGACGACAAAAACCACAAAAACACTTGCAAAACAACAAAACCCTGAATCTCGACGTGCTGGCTGGCTTATCGACCTCGAAAATCTTCTGGACTGCTCATGGCATCTCACCCGTACCTCTCGTCTTCATCTCGGCAATCGGCAGCAGCCATTGGGCTTCTTTGATTCACCTGATGTGTACGATACGACCTTACGACCCGCCTTCCTACTTCCCCGGTGCATACTAAGCGACACGCTGTATGCTTTCTTCTTCGTTTCGTGTTCTTGGCATATACCGTTTGATACCACGTCTCCCATCTCCCTTCCCCCCCCACAGGCGGGCAGGGGATGGATATGAGACATTTGAGATTTGTTGTTTCTTTATTACATTCGAAAGGGACGCGCGATGGTCCGTCCCCTTTCTGGCGGCAGCACAGCACGCACCACCTCTCGTTCGGGATATCCCACCCACCCCTTCTGGTCTTTTACGGCAAAGGACGGTGGAACACTTACGAAAAAAGGGTGGCATGCGTGTGCCGAAAAGATTAGACTGGAAGGAAAATCAGGAAGGGGGCTTTTTTGGGAGAACAAAACAGGGCATTATGATATGCACCTTGGGATGTGTATGTGTATGTAGTACAGGAGGGCTTCCTGGATGAGATACCCGAGTAACTCACCCTTCAAGGGGAGCCTAGTCTCATGTTCTGGAGTAGGAGGCACACTTTAGGTGTGCTGGTTGAATGAAAAGGATTCAAACGTACCCTTGCTGCACTGCGAAAGCAATGACGTGAAGCTCACTGAAGTCTAACAGCGTATGAAGGGTGATGCCTGTCTACCTAGTAATGAAGCTTACCGACTACAGTGGTTGGGGGATGTAAGGCGTGGAGCCTTTCCGGGCAATCTTGTCTTGCAAAAGTACATGTAGAGCATCGAATTCAAAACTGATGGAATGGGTATCTATTTTCAATCGTGCAGCACTACTGGAAAGATGGTCTTAGTTCCCCTTGCCCTTCTGGACTGTGCCTCTCTTCCTGTGTGTCTATGTCTACCTCAGGTTGCAGGCACCGGTGCCACACTTCCACACTAATGCTATGTGCCTTTCTGTTGCTGATATTTGCTCTAGTATACTTCTTTCCATGACCCCATCATCTCAGTGCCCGTTTGCGCTGATTTATGGCTCTATTCAAGTCTATGCATTATTTCAGGTCAAATCCATGGTTCCCAACCTTGGCGATGCCCTCGGCGACGCACTAGGAGACAACGACAATCTCCCGCCGATGGATGGTGACCCCCCGCCAGCTGAAGAAGGCCTGTCTGCCCACCGCATCTCGGCGAATTGCTCGTCTTCTAGTATGAAGATTTCCTGTTCGTGGCCACGGGGGAAGTCGCCAATAGGCTGTGGCGCGAAGCAAAAGTCGTCACATCGGACGCGGCGGTAGAACACTTGAGAATACGCAGACGGCGCCACCCCCGACGGCAATGCCGGTGCCGGCAGGACAGGCTCGAGATAGAGCCCCACTCGAGCCCGTGGCCCGGTGTCTGTCGGCCGGTCGCTTGCCCCAATCGGGAGAATGACGAGATTTGACTCCGGCGGCTGGACGGATGGTGACGGACTAGGTCTGCCCGGTGAGGGACTAGTTCGCGGGCTAGCGCGCGGGCTGCCGGGCGCGGCCAACGTTATCAGTTCCGCGGTGATGGAGATTCCCATGTTGGTCATGCTGAAGAGTCGGAACGGGGAGCCTCTGTGCAGGGCTCGCTGATGTACATCGCGGGAGCGGGCGAAATCGGCAGGCGAGTCGGCCAAAAGACCAGAGTTGAGGGCACGTCGTCGTCGCTCGCCAGTATGGGAGTCCATAAACTCCTGGGCCGGGTCAACGCGCCACGCGAAGATGGTTTCGTCGGGAGAAGTACGAATGATCTCGTGCTGCAAGCGCTGAAAGGCGTGTGTCAGGCCCTCGCCGTACAGGACGGGGATGTTCACACCGAATAGCCCCATGACGCAGTAGGCTAGGTCTTCTGGGCGGGTAGTCTGGCGGGCAGCGGCCCAGGACATGCGCTCTGCGATGGAATAGTCACGGGGTGAGCGTGTCTTGGAGAGGACCGACTCGAAAACGCCTGTGATGGCGGCTATTGCTGCGATGAATGGCTGCTCGCCGCGGTGCAGGCCTTTAGTTCCGATGCGCGACCAGTCCGAGGCGTAGAAGATGGCTCGGCGAGGAGCGATGAGCTCCTGAAGGGTCCAGCCACGGGTGAACCAACGGGATCTCGCAAGGGAGGGCATGTTGCCCATGGGCGCAGAGGCAGAAGGCGGAGGGACATCGGAGAGGTAAACGAAACAGACGCGAGCCAGGAGATAGTACGAGTACATGGAGTTGATGGCTTCAGACAGCTCGGCGGACGAGGTCTTGTCGATACAGCACGAGTCGATCCAGGCCCAGCCGATCTGGTGGCGCAGTGCTTGGTAGCATGTTCCCTCGATCTTGGAGAAACCAGCCTTTGTGCGGGCGAGGTGTAGGTTCTGTTGAATATCTTGGAACGTCACCTCGTCGTTACCCCAGGTATGGGATAGGATTGCGTATGGAGGGACGTTTTGAGGGCCATTAAACATGCGCAATTCGAAGGTGTTGGTATTGATGAGCCACATGCCGGGCGTGGTGGTCTGTCGTGCGCGGGTGTCACTCTACAATCTCTGCGGGTTGTCGTCGATAGGTAGGGCACGCCGGTTGTACTCGGGAGGCACAAGAGAAGACGAAGACACTCAGGAAAGGGTGGTGGAGGATGGAAGGAGCTGGTTTGGGGTTCAGCAAACCCAGGCAGGCTATCTGTCAGTCACTTTCAAGGCAAGTGTTAGCCTCGTAGGGGGCGCAGCTGAGCATCGAGCTCGTGTTGGTCTCGGTGACCGCCTCACACAGGTGTGTTTGGGCATGAAGAAACCTTTGGTCCTCAGTAGCAGTTTTGAGGAACACGAGACGGGGTTGATAGGTCTTGTAGTCATCCGACGAAGAGCATATCACACAACTTGATGGTTGCTAGGTCAAGTGAGCCAAGTCAACAGTCCGCTTCCTTGAGTCAAAGGAGGGGTCCAACGGGTGGCAGCTGTCGGCCAGGCACGAGCGGCCGGCACGTGGGCTGACAGGTGGCAGGCGTGTTAGGCGTCTTCACTAAGGAAAGGTGCGTACCTACTTAGGTAAGGTAAGGTACCTTAGGTAAGGTTAGTGCGGTCGGCCCGAGCACGCAAGAGCGCTGCGAAAATGACACGGACCAACAGAAACATGCACAAAACAATGCGCCCCACTGTTTTGTTGTTGAACTTCCAGGTTGGTTCCCTTCCAAGGCGTGGGCTGGTGGGAACAACCCGGACCCCGGCGACGCTCGTCCAACTCGCTAGGAGAGTCCAGCGGCATCGGCAATGCCAGAGGCCCTGTGCCGCAACTTCCCGCTGGTCCCTTGACTTTTTTGTGAGGGATGAGGGATGATGGACCCAATTTGGATCTGATCTGGCAGTTCTCCACGGCTGTGTTGGCGGCGGCACAAGGCGCACCAAGGCGGGTTTGTCATTTCGCCATGTCCATGTCAATGCCCACGCCCACGCCCAAACCCACGCTCATATCCGGATAGGATACCATTCAAGGCCATGTCCATCCCCATGCCCGCCATGTCATCCCTCGACAACATCTTCTGCAACCCAACAACAACAACAACACGACGAACACACACGACGACACCATCATGATTCCCCGAATACACCAGTTCATGGCAGCGCCACCTGCCACCATGTTTCGAGCCTTCATGCGCCGCCAGGCCCCAGGCCTGCGCACTCGCTTCACCCAGCAGCAGCGCCGCGCAAACTCCTCCAACTCGGGCACCGAGCCCCCAAAGCCGAAGAGAGAGAGCGACCCTATTCCTGTGCCCAACACCGTCGCCACGATCCCATTATGGCAGCGTCTCGGTCCGCTGACCCGTGCCGCCGAGGGGTATGCCAGGGCCCAGCGCAAGAGACCCCTGACGACGCAGTTCATCAGCTCCCTTGTCATCTACTTTTGCGCCGACCTGTCCGCCCAGAACATGAGCGGCAACGAGTACAACCCGGAGCGCACCGCGAGGTCCCTCATCATCGGCGCATTGTCCTCCATCCCTAGCTATAAGTGGTAAGTTGTGCTTCTGTGAGAAGCCCAATCCCAATGTGCGACGGCGACGAGCTAACAGAACGGGCGGCAGGTTCATCTTCCTCTCCCAAAACTTCAACTACACCTCGCGCCTGCTATCCCTGGCCACCAAGGTCGTCGTGAATCAGGTGTGCTTCACGCCCATATTCAACTCGTACTTCTTCGGCATGCAGGCCTTCCTGGCTGGCGACAACTTCGAGCAGATCATCGAGCGAATTCGGCGCACCGTTCCCGTGAGCATCGTCAACTCGTGCAAGCTGTGGCCCGCCGTGACGGCCTTCAGCTTCTCGTTTATCCCGATGGAATATCGCAGCGTCTTTTCGGGTGTCATTGCCGTCGGCTGGCAGACCTATCTGAGTTTCCTCAACCGGCAAGCAGAAGTCGTCGAGGAGGCCGAAGAGGCAGACGTAAGGGCGCACCCCAAGAAAGCTCACGCGGTGCAGGGCATCGCTGTGCACGAGGGGGCTGCAAAGATGGAGGCGTGAGAGGAGGGCGTGGAGGAGAAATTAGAGAGAAAGAGAGTGTGCAGGGACAAGAATACCCTAGACATCCTTGACGGACCTTTTTCTTTTGTAGTTGCATTGGAACGGCGTTGGCTTAGAAGGTTAGACGACATGGAGAACGTCATGATCTGATCCCATTTTACTGTTAGACAAGAAATACCATACCTAGTCAGGTCCCTTAGAATTGGCACCGTGCCAAAACGGCACTGCTCCCGCACTGTCCCGCATCCCAGTCCAGACGACGCCAACTGTCGACCCTGCCCGAACTTCGCGTCAATTCCGTCTCCGGCAGTGACATCTGCAAATCTTCAACCCCCCGATCCCGCACCAACGCCGAGCCATTGAGTGCTGGCCAGGACCAGCAGCTCTTCTCAGCAATGGCTTCCGTTTGCTTGCGCTCCGGCCGCGTGCAAAACGCCCTCCGCGCGGCCAGGAATCCCGCCCTCGTCCGCCCGCGACTCCCTAGCAACAACACCCTCCCTCGACGTCATGCCTCGACCGGCACCGGCTCCTCGTCCGAATCTAACGCTGGCTCCAACCTGAAGCTTGCCCTGTACGGCACCGCTCTCGCCGGGTCGCTCTACGTCTCCTACCTCTATGTCACTGATACCCGCGCCTCCATCCACCGCTGGCTTGTGCCGCCCATGCTGCGCTTCATCTACAGCGACGCCGAAGAAGCCCACCATGCCGGCACGACCATGATGAAGTCCCTCTACGACTTGGGTCTGCACATCCGCGAACGCGACAGGACCCTCGCCCAGCATCCCGCCCTCGCCAGCGAGGTCTACGGTTTCCAGCTCGCGAACCCCATCGGCATCAGCGCCGGCCTCGACAAGCACGCCGACATCCCCGACGCCCTCTTCGCACTCGGTGCTGGTGTCGTCGAAGTTGGCGGCTGCACGCCCCGTCCGCAAGAAGGAAACCCCAAGCCCCGCGTCTTCCGCGTCCCCAGCATCGACGGCATGGTCAACCGATACGGTCTCAACTCCCGCGGCGCCGTGAGCATGGCCGGTACACTGAGGGAGCGTGTGCGCAGATTCGCCCGCAAGGCCGGTGTCACCGAGCAGCAGGTTCTGGACGGCGAGGCTGGTGTGCCCGCAGGAAGTCTGCTCCCCGGCCGTCTTCTGGCTGTGCAGATTGCCAAGAACAAGGAGACGGACGAGCGGGACGTAAAGGCCGTCACTCAAGACTACGTCTACTGCGTGCAAGCCCTCGCCAAGTACGCCGATATTCTGGTCGTCAACGTCAGCAGTCCCAACACCCCTGGTCTGCGTGACCTGCAGGCTACCGAGCCCCTGACGAGGTTGCTGAGCGCCGTCGTCGACGAGGCGGCCAAGGCAGACCGCAAGGTTCGCCCCAAGGTTATGGTCAAGGTCTCCCCTGACGAGGAGGAGGATGCCCAGGTCGAGGGCATCGTCCAGGCCGTTTGCAACAGCGGCGTTGACGGTGTCATTGTTGGCAACACGACCAAGCGTAGGACGGGCGTCGTCCCGAAGGGTGTCCAACTCTCCGCCAAGGAACAGAAGGCACTGATGGAGACTGGTGGCTACTCCGGCCCCGAAATGTACGGCAGGACTTTGGAGCTGGTCAAGAGATACCGCCAGAAGCTCGACAGCCAGACCCTGCAGTCTGGTTCGGCGGACGAGGCTGCTGCCATCCCCTCCGTGGACGGCACTCTGTCGGGCAAGGTTCACGACTTGATTGAGGGCAAGGATACTCCGAGAAAGGTCATCTTTGCCACTGGAGGCATCACCAACGGAGAACAGGCATTGAAGATTTTGAACGCTGGCGCCAGCGTCGCTATGGTGTACACGGGGTTGACATACGGCGGTCCGGGAACAATCACCAGGATAAAGAAAGAGTTGGTGGATCAGGCGTAGAATACCAAATTTAGACTTTTGAATGCTTCGTTTTCATTGATTGCCTGCTCGCTAGTCTCAAGATGCTAGGAGCACACCTAAATCTACGCCTCTGGGCTGTCTAGTGTGTCCTCCTTTACATCAAGCAAGGCTTCTTCCTCGTCGGTGGAGCGGGTATCCTCCAAGAAACCTCCTGAGATCCAAATGCTGAAAGATACAGCCTGCTCCGTGCAGACCGCAGGCCAATCACAGGGGCCGGGAATAATCATGTTACCCGTTCGTTCGTCTTTCGTTGATCCATCATTCGAAGGGATGTCCAGGATAGCGAAAGGTCGATGCCCGAGACTTGGCTCCAGGATGGCCCGCAGGACGCAGAAAATCGGTAACCCAAAAACCGTCACAAGAAACGCCACGTTCGCCGCAATAAAGACCAGCGCAAGAAATAGCGCGTAATAGATGATCATAGAAGGCCCAAACGTGCTCGCTATGAAAACCCAACAGAAGAGTCGTCGCAAAGGGTTTCTAGGGAATCTTGGTTTTGGCTTGGACATGTCCTCGTATAACTGAACGGTCGCGACGACGATGCTGGTAATAGATGTGATGACGGCGACGAGCCCAGCAAGAAAGAGCAGGAGCTCTTTCCAATCGACTTCTAGGTCTCTCTGCACTGGCGATTCCATGATGAGTATGGCTGAGAATAGTGTTGACTAGGGTGTTGACTGCAGTTGGTAAGGCCGTCAAACGTTCTGAGATGGCGGGGTTCAGAAATGCTGGACCGCAGTTCCCGCCCTTTTCGAGGTTTTTATATCCTCTGGGTATTTTGGCGTGGCGACACCGTTTTGTACTTACGAGTCACGGGTTCATCAGAAAGTAGGCACAGGTTGGCACCCTGCTACCAGTTCCGCAAGACAAGACTATTCACCACCAGGGTTGATGTCCGTCGGGACAGTCCTGCTATGTGTCACATGCGTGCTCCAAGAAAGAGATGGTGGATTAGGCGAATACCGAAATTAGAATCTTGGCTGCTCAATGCAATTCTCGATTTGCAGCTATACTTCTTCCTAACTAGATACACATGGTGTCTACGTGTGATGTCCTTATCGCTCCCCCGAAGAAGCGTTGCTCTCCGTTTGAGTTGAGTTTTGGTCCCTGGCTGCGCAGCGGGCACATTCTGAGAAACCTCCAGCGAGCCAGATACTGAAAGATATAGCCAGCTCTTCCCAGTGTTCAGGAAGGTCTCTGAGTTTCCCGAACAATTCGCGAAATCCCTTTGTAAACTCCGAGTCCTCCGAGGAATCGAAGGGACCGAAGGCTGGTCCGAAGATGACATCAAAAATGAACAGAACCGGGAGAAGAAGTAACAAGAGCATCGTGACACCCATGAAGGTCAAGCCCCATACCAAGAAGGCTGCTAGGTGAGCGACAATAAAAGGCCCCAATAGTGTCGACAAAAATAGCCAACAGAAGGTCCTCCGCAGCGGGTTCTTTGGGAATCGCGGTTTTAGTTTGGACATGTCGTAGTACATAATACAGGTCGCATTCAGGATGCCGAAGAAGATTGCTATTATGACAGAACTCCACTTGCAGAAAGAAAGCAAGGCCGCCCAATGCTCTTCCATGTTTAGATTGGTATTGGATGAGAAGAAGATGACTACCGAGTAGCGATAAAGCACCGGCGGTAAGATGATAGTCGTGGTGATAGGTGTTGTGAGGTTGTTGGATTGGAGGGAGTTTTGAGCAATGAATGCAACAGTTCTTCCAACGTTGCCTGGAGAAAATTGAGATCTTATATCATGGACATCCTTCATTCGGATCATTCGGAGAAAACAAGAGATATACCTCTGCATAGCTTTGGTGTAGACACAAGGGTTGATATTATACAAAGTTTGGTACGGAGTTATCAAGCTACCGATTTGGCTAGGGTTTCTAAATCTTCGTCAGGAGTGCTATCCACCTCGTCGAAGCCCTCTTCCGTGTCGACGTGTCTGGATCGCTCCAAGAAACCCCCAGAAAACCAGATGCTGGAGCATACGATTCCGTTCCTCCAAGCATCAATACTTTCTGAAAGAGCGTCCTGTATCGTTTTAATCCACAAGGCCGGGAAAGATCCGACAGCCAGATTTAGGACCCTTCCAATTTCCATCAGTGGAAGCCCGATAATAATCAACGTGGCTTGCAGTGCCATAAGAACCAGAATGGTGACCCAAAAGAATACAAACGAGATTGACATAAGAATCCAGCACAACAGTCGTCGCAACATGTCTTTGGAAATCGCGGTTCTGGATTAAGCATGTCTTCACGCATCTCGATAGTCGCTGTGTAGAGTGCGAGTGGCACACAAAGAGCAAGAATGGCGAGGAGCGGGTCAGAAGCATCCAGATCCATGTTTCCGATTGTAATTTAGTCGGTCTCGTTAAGAAAAAAGATCTGATGCGTGAGTATGGGTGAAATTTTGCGACGAAGGCAACGATGCCAGTGGAAGATAGTTCTTCAAGAAACAAACCTGCGGCGCTTCGACCCTTGTTCTTCGGCCTTCGTAAATCGCATGTTAATTCTCTTGGTGCAGCCGTAAGGGTTCGAGGCTGAAGGGTGACTACGGTACTAGTTCTTTAATTTTGCCAGGGCCCTAAACTTGGAGCTCTATGCAGTCTCCCCGATCCCAAGGTTTAATCATACGATGGGTATTTATTGTGGTGAGCATAACTTATTTCTCTTAGTTTAGCCTTTTATTCCGTTCCTCTCTCTATTCTAGGTACCATCTCCATTATAGTTTTCGCTATTATCGCTGTTCCTGTTGCCCATAATCACTTTCCGCCTAAGTAGAAAAACTTCTTCTCAATTGCAGTGTCTAGTAATTTCGCTGTCATGTTGATCTTAATGTAGTTCCATGTATTGCCCGTCGGTCAGTCGCACATCAGCTTCCATGATCCATCTGTAGTATGCTTCGACTATGTCATAGGAACTTGTTGATTCCATGTCGTGCGCCGCATGTAACTCAAAGATATGTTTCAATTTCCCTCGAGTCTTTCCCTCGTTTCGTGATCGATATCATCACCACACCAACCCTTCACCTTCTGTAATTTCTCACCACTAACCGTCCCTGCTCCCGCCTCAAGTAAGCCCATTTTCTCTAAGTAGCAGTCCCTACACTCCAACGAGTGCCCGGAAAGCACGATGAAGAAGTTGCTTATAACTTCCATCGAAGAATCGAAACGTTCGGGATAACCTAGCACTAGACTGTCCATGAAATCAACGCAGTGGAGAGGACCGAAAGTCGGTTCGAGAAGACATTCCAGAAGCGGTCCAATAATCATGAAGAGTACGCTGAGAAGACAAAGCGGCAAAAAGGTCAGAATATTGACAACATTGAAAAGCCCTTGCACAATTGATATAGAGAGCCAGCAAAAGGCTCTTCGCAGAGGGTTGCTGGGAAATCGCGGTGTTGACTTGTCCATGTCTTCATGCATCTCGCTGCTTGTTCTGACAAACGCGAAGAGGAATCCGAAACCGAAAATAACCGAAGAGAAAATGACGAGGAGCGTTGTTGAAACTTCCATGTCTTGAGATCCATTCATGGTGGTAGGATTGCGATGAATCTCTTCGGAATGTGGTTGGGTGGTTGTGGGAGTAGCCTAAGGTGACAAAAGGTTAGCTGCCGAGTTGTGGAACTCTTCAGCTGGGTTTAGTTTGATAGTTGAGTGGGGGTTGGTTCTGATAGCTGTGCCTTCAGCTTTGGAAACGAGGAGCTTATGTCTGTGTGCATGAAGTATTCGGAGATGCCTAAAGTTGGTACTAAGCAACTCTGTTGCCATACACTGGTACCTTAAAGGTGAATTCGAAACCAGATGCGCTATCTACCACATGTTTCACCTTGATAATACCATATTAGACATGACGTTTAAGAGCATCTTATTGTATGGAAATAGTGGCTGAGGGGAAATTGTGCTAAAAGACAGACTGCGTCTCAATCCCGATTTGATATCCTGTGTTGAGTAGGTTTTGATTGAGCCTTTGGAAAACCATTTAACACAAGACCGCTAAATCGTGGCTTTCAAGCACCAAAATCTTGGTTTCATACCTACTCAGCACCTGTCCGCTGTACCTGCCTCCGGCCCGTTCAACTCAAGGTTATTAGAAAGAGTTCCGTGGGGAGACATCGTCGCAATCGCCTTGACTTTGACCTCCTCCCAGTCGCCTCCCACCAGCCACAATGAAATGTACAGCCAGTACATCCAAATAAATATTGGAGGTACACCGATCGCCGAGAGGAATTTTCGGGGGGTGATGTTGTGTAGAAAAGACTCAGACGTGCAGAGCCGGATGTAGATCGTTTTGAAGATAATTGCGGGTATGATGCCGACGATGAAAAGACTGATGGCCGCGACGTAATAGGCGATGCATGGAAGAAGCAAACAAGTCCAACCGACACTTAGTAGGAGCCAGCCCGCAACATATTGAAGGGCAACAGCATTCTTGCCTTTTAGGAGATCTCCAACTATGGCGCCACAAAAGCCGACAAAAACGATATAAGCGATGCCGACAACAATAGCTAGGAAGATGAGGACGGCCTGGACCCCACCAGAGAGGTCGTTCCACGTAATGGTGGAGGTTGACGATTGTTGTAGCGACATAAGTGCTAGTAGTGCGAGTGTGGATGTCGACATGCGGTTCGAGTAAACGTGTAGATGGTGGTTGTATTGGGCGTAGATTTGGAAGGATCAATGTTTCTGCATTCGAAGGGCAGAAGCAACATCATTAAATACCTCTTTACATATGCTCTCCATTCCGACGAGTGACATGATTTTCTAATGATCTCGGTGAAGCCGAAGCTTCTGATACCCAAAGTTTCCCATCTGCGTCAAGTCTTTGATAAGATAGAAGGCAGCATGGGTCACGAGACGCACCGTTAGCCATCCATAAGCTGTCTCCGAGCCACCAAGGTCATTCAGCTTTGCCCCCTCGTTTCCTGTACCGACAGCCCAAAGGTCCACCATGAGAACCGTTCAAACGCCATGTGCGGGTCTATCTGGTATACCTGTGCTGGGTAGAGTCGATAACTCCGCAGCGTTTACGGATCCCCTATCAGAGGGCTCCTTTTGAGGTCCATGCCACCCTCCTCCAACCGCGTAAACGACGTAGTACGTGTAGTAGTTCCAGACCGCAGCAGGAGGTTGACCAGCCGCTGAGAATAGTTGGCGACGGGAAGTATCTTCTCGGCCTGCCCAAGATGGGCAGGCCAGCTTGCAGAGTGCCTTGATGACGAGGCTTGACACGATAAAGATTATGAAGAAGCAGACCGCCGCGATGTAGTAGATGAGAGTGGGCCACAGCAAGATGAAGTACCCGATTACGAGCAGAAAGAGGGCTGTTAAAAATTGAAGAGTGACCAAATTTGCGTTCTCGTAGTTTCTCTTCAGACGACGGGAGGCAACGAGGAAGGTCGCAAGAACGGCGACGCTGCCTAAGACGACGCCAAAAGCGATGAAACTCTGTACCTCTTTACGGCTCAGAGGCATTGTTCCAGACTCGGCTGGAAGGAATGGTTTGAAGAACGAGAATTGGGATGAACCTGACTGTTTAATTTGATCGAGACGTGAAGTGCCTGACGTCGATGCGGCTCTCAGCTAGTGTGCTATTTAAGACAAGAAATACACCTTATCAACACTAGCTTACCGAGAATATCGAAGCCACCTCGTGACACCGCCAACTGCCCCTTCAAACTCAACCGTACGCTAAAATGTAGGCCATACAGGTCCTCGGGAAAAAGATGCTCATTGAGTCCTTCATGTACCTCTCGGCATGTCCGAAAGTGGCACGGCGTCGATAGATGATTTGGAAGGCGGGATTTCTCCGTTGACCAGCCGAATTGTGCAGCGTTCCCAGTATTTGATGATGGCTCCTGCGGGCTCGTTGACTATGCACAAGATATCGGATGCAGACGTGTGCAAAGTCGATAAAAACGGGCCCCAGTGCGGTTCTATACACTTTTTGGAGACCAGGTAGAAGATGAGCCCTGGGACCAACAAGGCTAGGAAGAGGCATGCAACTACAACGTAGTAGGCGAGAATGGGGCCGATCAGGACGAGATATCCGACGAGCAAAAGGGAGGCGCCTGATACGTGTTGCCGACGAGTCCTGCTCTGGCCCAGCAGGACACCGATTCTGGCGCTAGCATTGATGATCAGGCCGACGATGAAGGCAATGCCGACGATGCTGCAAACGACGATGCTCGCAATGTTGAAAGGAGTGTTCCAAGCCCAAGAAGTCCTTGCCATGGCTGCTGAGCTGTTGGTAGATTCGGTTTTGTTTTGAGAAATAGGTGGTGTCTGAGATGGTTTCCGGTGTTTCGCGGGTCTTCTCCAGGGAAGTTCTGAGTAAAGATGGATCTACAAGGACACGAATTATGGCACTCGCGAACGCCGGGATTTAATTTTCGACAGTGGTGGGCCGTTGGGAAGCTGCCTTGAGAGAAGCGCAAATCGTTCCTTTGATGGCCTGAAGGCTAATTGCCAGTTTCATTTTGAAGCAACCTCGTTGGCCTGACCATTTCAGCCCCAGTATCCATCTTTCCAAAGCTCCTTTCGATATCCCTCGGTCAGTCTCTCGTCCTCACCGTAAACCTCTTGCCAGCCAACGAAGCCACGGTCGAGGACATAGACGTCCTGTGGCTGGGTGCTCGCTTGTTCCTCGGATGACCCTGAAGACTGCTTGGAGGCGAGGGCCTGGTCACGTTCTCTGAGGTAGCGAAGGGCGGCGCTGGGCCCACGCTGCTGGGACAAGGCGCAGTGGAAGATGACGGTCTTCTTGCCTTCGAGGCGGCGAATGAGGGTGGGCATCATGGCTTCGAGGGAGCGGGAGGGCATGTTGATGCAGCCCTTGATGTGACCTCCGATGTAATCTGTACCAAGCCGAAAGTCAGCGGTGCCTTTGCGGGTGGGTTGTGGATGGGAATGTCGAAAGGCCACACGCACCATCGTCACGAACATCGACGACAGCTACCGAAGGGTTGGCGGCAGCCTGCTCCGCCAGCAACATGGTGGAGAGCTTGTCGGCAGTAATGCGCTGAAGGGTTCCGATGGTCGCCATTGTGCGTTTGAATTGTAGCATACGCGTCGGGAAGACGTTCATGGGGGAGGGGGATTCAGAACTGCAGTCCAAGCTTAATTCGAGTTTGACGCGAAGTTGGAGCTTGGTTTTGGCGGGGAGCTCTGACGCGGGGCACCGTTCACAGTGTTGTCACCTTAACCTGCCCCTGTCGCGTGGGGAATCCTGGCTCGCAGCACCTGTGACCGCGAGGCCGGGCTTACATAAGCATGCGTTCGTCCCTCCAAGTGAGTCCGCAGGTTTTGTCAAGGCACAAAGCCAAGACAAACACATACAGCCCTGCTATTGCAATACGACCCATGAACACTCATCCCACAGCATGCGCAGGTTCGATGCGGGAGATCCCTCAACTCAAAAATATGGTCTACAGGGGCCATCCAAGGCAGCTTGTTGCCAAGACATTGGATAACCAAGCACATTGGAATGCCATCCCACATGGCGCTCAAGCATATGCACCACGCAACCTGATATGTCAATCATATCTGCAGAATCCGTTCATCATCTTCAATGAAACACAGCCTGTCGCTTTCGCCCCTCTTGCAAACTAGGGCTGAGGTCTCGGCCTACTCCACAGCGATCTCGGTCTCGGCGCTTATCTGGACCTCCGCCGCCGAGCGAAAATCATTATGGTTCTCGCTATCCCCCGTTTTTTGGTCCAGATTATGCCACTGTGACTTGCCCGACTTGGCCTTGACTGGTTTCTGCTGGCTACCTCAAGTATTGATGGCTCTTGGCTCTATCGCTAGGCGGAACTCTATTCAATGTCATCAACGTTTGGGCCGATGACTTTCACAGGTATCGTCTTCAGCGTGTTTAATCGAATTTCTTAGGAGGAAAAAGTAGCTGTCTGTGGAAAAGGCAGCTTGATGAGGACGAGGTCACAGTTTCCCAAGAATCGCAGCAATATACCGATAGAGATGTCTCCATTTCAGAAGGTGTCTAGATTACAGCTGAAAGACAGTGTCACAACCTGAATGGTTAGACGGCATCACTCCACAGAGCCCTGGCAACGTCTCTGACAAGAGCCAACTTCTCCCACATCCTCTCCTCCGTAGCCACACCTCTATTGATGTTGTGGCTGGCAAATCCACACTGCGGGCTCACCGCAAGCGAGTCCTCCAGGACCTCGGATGCGCTTCTTCCCTGCCCCGTGGCAATCCTCATCGCTTCTAAACCTGCGTCTTCATAATGCGAGAGATCCTGTGAGACATTGCTATGGAGAGAAATCTATCATGTTTAAGCCGGCAATTTCTCCCACTTCATGCCTAATACGCCAATGATGGAGATTACTGCCACTGCCATTGGTACACGAAAGGTTTCCTGAAGTGCCTTGTTGTACGCGTTGATGATCCTCGGAAGTAGATCTACCGAGATCATGTCCTTCAGATTGGTAGCTCCCATGTCAGCAATAGCTTGTCCGTCGAGTCCGCCCTGGCCGTGTAAATTCCGCTTCAAATTGTTGACAAAGACTGTATTTGCGACCGACATGAGAACTGCTGGACCGAGATTCTGAAAAAGAGTGACAGCGGCAGTCCCAGCCGGGATATCCGCGAGAACGAGAGTGGACTGCACTCCCATCATGGGTTGTTGGGTCCCTGCACCAATCCCGATGCCTGCGATGATAGGATAAATGATCCATTCGCTTGGCCCCGTGTCAACTTCGAACCTGGTCATAAGTCCAAGGCCGACTGAAGAGATGGCTGTAGAAAAGAGCATAAAGGGGTTATACCATCCCAAGAGGGTCACCAGGTATCCGGCAACCAACGCCGCCAGTACCTCTCCACCAACATAAGGCACAAGCTTGATGCCAGACTCTCTCGCCGAGTTGCCCTTGATCGCCTGAAACCAGATTGGCAGCCAAATATCTGCAGTATAGTAAGCTGCGTCGATACAGGCGGCATAAAGGCAAGCAAACGCAACGTTGCGCTGCTTCACAAGCCGAGGTGGTAAAGCGGCCTTGTCACCTTTCCAAATCTGTGAAGTGACAAAAGCGACCAGCATGACCGCAAATAACACGAGGAGTGCAATCATGGGACCGCTACTCCACGGATACTCCGACCCGCCCCACTGGAGTGCCAATAGAAGACAGACCATGCAGGCGAAGAAAATGGAGAGACCAATTATGTCGAATTCCTTGATTTTGGAAGACAACTTTCTGTTGCCGCCAGAGATAATCTGGGCCGGAGGTTTGAAAGAGAATTGAATCAGTCCCAGTGTTGCGATACCGACAGGAATGCTAATATAGAACGCCCACCGCCAGGACAAATGACTGTCTGTCAAGGCCCCTGAGATCAGAGGACCGATGATGCCGCCAACGCCTGAGAATGCGCCCAGGAACCCAGTGTACACTGCCCGTTGGCGGATTGGGACGGAATGTGCCAGAACAACCCAGGTACCTGTGATTTGACGATGATGGTTAGATGAGCCAACGACAAGAGTGGAACGAGAGAGAGAGAGATGAGATAAAACCAGAGAGAATGAAAGTTCGGACCTATGATGATGCCACTGCAGCCGATGCCGGTAATGGCACGACCGATGATGAAGGCAATAGAGTTGAGTGCGCTTCCGCAAACCGCTAGACCGACCTCTCGGAAGGCGATGGCCACCATGAATGTCAACTTCAAAGAGAACAGCTCGTAGCATTTACCGTAGACTAGTTGAAACGAACAAAGCTGTCGCAAGTCAGCCGTGATGAATGAGGCAACCTAAGACGCACCACTTACGCTCAACATGTACGCGGAACCGTACCATCCGACGTGCTGAAGTGAGTTGAATTGATTTGTGATTGCAGGAATGGCCGTTGCAATCAGAGTCATGTCCAAAAACACCAAGAATACAGCCATAGCGAGGCCCAGAATAATAAGGGCTAGTCGAATGCCTCTTGGGTACTCGATGGCCGAATCTTCCTGGTAGCCAGCTTCTTTGGCTTCCTTGACTTCGAGGGAAATGGGAAGCGCTGGGACTTTCGCGTCAGAGGACATGCTTGACCCCTTTCCCATGGAAAGCTTCTCCGAACAACTTGAAGACTGAACTGCATCTTTGGCGCTTGAAGTAATTGCTCTGGAGGACTCCGATGTCGCCATGATGAGATGCGTGTGAGACAAAGTTTTGAACGATGTGGACAAGAAATGAACTAACTATATGAGCACACTCTTTTCTTGAGTCTTGCAGGCCGAGAGGCCTGTATCAGTCAGATTCTTGGACTGATGCAGCAAGTTCTTTCGAGGTGTCTCAGAGATTCGTAAGCAACGTCAGCCAAGTTGTCAAGTGGTCAGAAATTAGGGGAGTAAAAAAGTTCCCGGTGAGTAGGTGGCCGGCAGCCCGGGCAAATTCAAGGTATTAGACACGAAATTCATCATTTACGTCCCTGTCATCTCAAACACTTACGCAAGAAGTTGTGGCCTTTTCAGTGCCTTGCGACACTAAGACTAATAGGTGATACTACCAAGATGAACGTAAGGGATCATACACAATCGACCCCATGACCGGTTGCAATCCCATTCGACAATTGCGAAGCCAGGGTCAGCGAGGCAGCTTTGCCCGAGGCAAATTCTCGGAACCAGCGTCTGATTCCAAATCCTATGTTGTACATATCACATTCAGAATGGCCGTGAATAGCCTTGTAGCTGTTTCAATGGCTGCCATTGGTTCGAGAAGTCGAAATCCTCAACTCTTGGCGACAATCCTTCCAGTCGTGGCTTGACCTAGCTTGCCGAATTTCAGCCTGCCATGCTAGGTCAAGCTCACACCCTGGGCCATACACTTCTGCAATAGGAAGCTGGGTGTTAGGTTCTAATCCCTTGAAATCATAAACGCGAAGCCACTAGCATGAATACGTTTTCGCGACTTCGCGTCATTGGTGAGATCGCATTGCGTTCTCGAAAAACATAGTACGTTTAGGGCTCATCACAGACAAGTGCGAATCCACAAGCACGATGCAGGCACACCTTATCTAAACAAGGATGAATGAAGTTTCTTGATTCAGGAGCAGGTAGAAGTGAATCGCACTTTTGACAGGATCACTAATGCTGGTCTGATGCAAGGATTATTGATGCCTTCGGCAACGATACGAAAACCTGACGATTGCAAATCAACATAGGCAAACCTTGAAGCACTTTAAGATGCAGGCAAGATGGGGCTCCATATGGTAAGACATGTCACACGAAAAGGCGTGACTGCAAGGAAGATGGGACTACTGACCATGCCCTCTTCATCGAAGGTAAGACGATTCGGTCCCCTTTGACGCTCACGATAGGTTCGCATGGTTTTGCTTTGCCCCTCGTCAGATCCTCAACGGACTTTTGTAATCCTCTGGCACAGCCATTCAGTAGGGGAGTCTCGACGAATTTGGCAATTCCAATCGCCACTTGCTTACATGTATGTGGAAGGCTTCGGTGAACTAGAAGGTGAAAACCTTTATAGGACTCTCAGGGTACTTCTTCAATCGGGTGCTCTTTGCAACATCTAGACTACTGGCTTGTATGGCGAGCACAAAGTACTCGAAAATGGCCCGGTGTCATCTACCGCCGGAAAGTACTTGAAGCTCGGAGATGCCCACATATCATCCCTTCTGTTTCTCGAGAAAGTCTACTTGAATGTCCGTGGGCCAAGTTGCCCGTGTCGATTGAACGGATCATCCTTTGTTTACTTTCATTTTCTACCGAGAAGAAATCATTACACAAGCACCATGATGGCCAGCTACGGTCGCGCTTCATACCCAGAAACGAAAACAGCCGAAACCCTGCTGTTCCGCTCCCACAGATTTGAGGCCCTTCAAGAGTACGCTCACTGTTCAGCTGCCTCTATAATTCAGCTTGCTTGTGTCGTAGCATTGAAGGCATACGCATCAGTTGAGTCCATCAACTTCTTAGGAGAGGATCAGGAGTGGTTACTTTGGAACACTCCCTTGTCCCCAAAGAGCCGCATCTTCGAACTTCTCTGCAAGCCAAAAGTTGCAAGTGCCGACTCTGTGACTATCTCGAAGGCCAATCTCACAGAGTATGCTCTCATTGTATCGTCCTTCCGTGATGGATGTCCCCTGAACATGGCACAAGAGGCCCTTCCGTCTCTACATGCTGTGAAAGCCGTACACCCGCAGGTTAGTCCAAGCCCTTTTAACTAACATGGTCTCTTGCGTTACCCATCCCCATCGCCATAATTTCCTCATGTATTTGGCGCTGTTTCTCATCATAGTGTGAAAACCTTAGCTGACATTTGTAAAGACAGTCATGGCCTTTACTGCGGGCCAAGATCCGCTCTCTCATAGTCTTCTTGTACGATGCGAATATTCAGAAACGACCCACTCAGACTGGCGTGCGAGAAAGATACTTTCAACATTTCGCAATGCACTCAAAAGCATCATCGCCCAGCCGAATGCCAATTTGTGTGATCTCAATCTCCTGGATGAAGGCGACCATCACCAATACGATGTCTGGAACCAGCTCGACTCGGATCATGAAAAAGTCTCTGTACAAGACATGATTGCAAGTCATGTTCGTGGGTCACCTCTGAACATAGCTGTTGATGCGTGGGATGGTACTCTGTCTTACGCAGAGTTAGACGAGAAGTCAAGCAATATCGCCAACGAGCTTGTCAGGCGAGGCGTCCGAGCCGAGTCCAAGGTTGCTCTATTATTCGAGAAGAGTGTATGGAATATTGTGGCAACGGTGGCTGTTCTCAAAGCCGGTGGTGCGTTTGTGCCCTTGGATCCATTCCAGCCGGACGGCCGAATCTCAAACCTCCTCGATAAGATTCAGCCAAAGACTGTGTTGAGCTCCAAGACATACACCGAGCGTTTACGTGCGCTATCGAGAAACATTCTGTGTGTTGAAGAGCAATCAACACAGCAGCTATCTGGCCTTGCAACTGCACCCTTTCCTTCACCAAGACCTTGGGATCTGGCTTACATCATGTTCACTTCCGGAAGCACCGGAGAACCAAAAGGGGTGATGGTTGACAATGCCGCCTGCTCTTCCAGTATCGCCGCCCACGGAAAAGCCACAGGATTCAACAGACAGACGAGGGTCATCCAATACGCTCGTCATACCTTCGACGCGTCTATCGCCGAAATCCTCACGACTCTCAGCTTCGGTGGTTGCATTGTTGTCCCGTCTGAAGACGAGAGATTGAACGACATCACCAGTGTCATGCAGCTAAAGAGGGTAAATTGGGCATTCTTTACGCCTTCTGTGATCCGACTTCTTGAACCGTCTGAGTTACCCGGACTGACAACCTTATTATTGGGCGGCGAAGCTGTCGGTCAAGATAATATCGAGAAATGGGGGCGCGGACGCAATCTCGTCAATGCATTTGGGCCTACTGAGAACACTGTCTTCTCGACTATGCACCTTGTTCGATCCGATGGGAACCCCGGAGTTATAGGACGTGGGGTTGGTACCTTTTGCTGGATCGTCGTACCAGACGACCCTGCTCGGTTGTCACCTCTTGGTGCCGTTGGAGAGCTGGTTCTTGAAGGTCCCCAGCTGGCGAGGGGCTACCTGAATTTTGAGGAGGGCGAAGGGCCTAACAATGCCTTCGTTCGTGATCCTCCTTGGCTCGCCAAACACAATCGACGAGGACGGCTTTATCGGACAGGGGACTTGTGCCGCTTTGACCAGAATGGTGTGATTCACTTTGAAGGCCGCAAAGACACTCAGCTCAAGATCTCTGGACAGCGGCTGGAAGCCTCCGAAGTCGAATATCATCTGCGCTCAGCGTTCAAGACTCAGAGTGTTGTTGTGGACGTCGTCACGAGGCCAACTTATGGATCGAAAAAGAACGCCAAAGTACTTGTGGCCTTCATTTGCCAACAAGGAAACGCCGGGAGTGACTCCGTCGATGGCAGATGCGTCATGCCCAGACAGATTCCAGCTCTTCAGAAGATGATACCGAAGGTTGAAGCTATGATTTCCAGTGTTCTTCCCTCCTGGATGTGTCCCTCCCTCTACATCCCTCTTTTTAGCCTGCCTCTCACCACCAATGGCAAGGTTGATCTCAAGCGTTTACGCCGGGAAGTTGACGACCTCCGTCCAGAGCAGTTCTATGGTTTCTCTGAGTCGGGCCTGGAGGATGACACTGAAGAAGCTGCGAACGAGAATACCGAGCTCCAAAACGTAATGCGCGGTCTTTGGGCCGGCGTTCTCGGAATCTCCGAGGGCATGCTATCGGCCAGCAGCAATTTCTTACGCCTCGGTGGAGATTCTATGGCCGTGATATCGCTAGTGTCGGCTGCGCGTAAAAGCGGTCTCGCGCTGGAATTCGCACAAGTCTTCAAGAATCCAATCTTGGGAGACCTCTGTCAGCTTCCCCTGCTCCAGTCCAAGAAGTCCATGATTACTACACGACCCATGGAACTTCTAGATGGGGAATCTGTGGCTCTTACAGAAATTGCCGAGGAGTGTTCCATCATTATAGAGGACATTGAAGACGCTTTTCCCTGCACACCCCTACAGGAGGGGCTCATGGCCATGTCTTCCACAACTGCCAATTCATTCCTGGTCCAGTATGTGCTTCAGCTTGGAGCAGATGTCGATGTCGCAAGCTTGAAAAACGCGTGGAATTTAGTTTCCAAAGCACACGGCATCCTACGCACTCGTCTGGTAGACACATCGACATCTGGCATCCAGCAAGTTGTCGTACACGAGGCCCTACGCTGGAATGAAAGCTCCAATCTTGATGAATATCTAGACTTTGACCTGAAAAAGGCGTCAACATTTGGGGTTCCGCTGAATCGATTCGGCATCATCTACGATACCAATGGTCTAGCATCGAGCATGGTCTGGACTGTGCATCACGCTATTGTCGATGGTCACTCTGTCGGACTCACCCTGCGAGCAGTGAGGGACGCCTTCAGAAATTCTTTTGAAGCTACGAAAGCTTCTTTCTCTTCTTTCATCAAATATTCCCAGACTTCAGCATCAGAATTGTCAGCCCAATACTGGAAGTCAGTCTTTGAGGGAGGAGATAATGAGCAATTCCCAAGGAAGCCGCCTTGCATTGTCTCTGCCAACGCGAATCCAGAGAAAGCATTTGTTCGTCTTAATATGGCTCTTCCCACATCCGGCTTAGATGTGACTGCGACAACTATCTTGCGTGCAGCCTGGGCACTTGTCATTAGCCGCTTCAGCGGGTCCAGCAATGCCGTCTTTGGGGTCACGTCATCGGGAAGGAATGCTTCATTTGATGGAATCGAGACCGTTATGGGTCCAGTCATTGCGACTGTTCCGTTGCGGGTTAAGTGTGATCGAAGTCGGACCGTGATCGATTTTCTCACCGGGCTTCAGACGGCCACTATCGACATGATCCCCTTCGAGCAGATGGGCATCCAGAACATATCTCGCATAGATGCCAATTGCAAGGCTGCCTGCGAGTTTCAGAGCATGATGATCATTCAGCCTGAAGTGGATATGGCCATGGATGGTGCTCCTTTCACTGCTTTTGAGCGACCACAAGACCTTGACAAATTCAACTCCCACGCCGTCATGGTTGAGTGCAGTCTCCAGGAGACTTCGGTTCACGTCAACTTCAACTATGACACCGAGTACCTTGACCATTCCCAAGCTTCCAGACTGGTGGACTATTTCGACACTGCACTGGGGTTCTTAGTCGCAAGTCAAACCACACGTCTCGAGACATTCTTTGCCCAACCTTCGGCCGAAGATATCAAGCAGATACAAGCTTGGAACCAAAAACGGCCCTGCACCACCGAAGCCTGCGTTCATCAATTGTTTGAGACTCAAGCCCAGATCCAACCAAATGCACAAGCAATCTTTTCTTGGGATGGGCATCTCAGCTTTTCGGAACTTGACAAGAAAGCTTCACAATTGGCTCGAGTTCTTGTGGATTTGGGTGTTGGCCCAGAGAGCAAAGTGGTGTACTGCTTCGAAAAGTCTCTCTACACTGTTGTGTCTATGCTGGCTATCCTGAAAGCTGGGGGCGCAATGGTTCCCCTCGACCCTGCCTACCCATTGGAGCGCAAATCTTTCATTGTCCAGAATGTTGCCGCAAAAGTTGTCGTGGTATCTTCCTCTCAAGCAGATTCATTCTCTGGATTAGATACTCCAGTAGTGACCGTGAATCGGGCTCTGTTTGAGAACATGGACAAGCTGCACGTTCAAGCCTTCTCGAGCGCAGAAGTCCAACCTCACCATGCTGCCACAGTTCTGTTCACATCTGGCAGTACGGGGTTGCCGAAAGGTGTTGTGCAAGAACATCGCACTCTTTGTTCCGCAGCAAATGCTCAGTCGGCAGGCATGCAAATGTTCAAGGGCTCGAGAATTCTCCAATTTTCAGCTCATGTTTTTGATGTCAGTGTCATTGAGATTGTCAACGCACTGGTCTTGGGAGCCTGTATCTGCATCCCATCTGATGAAGACAGGCTGAACAACCTTGCTGGATTTGTGACAGAATCCCAGGCAGACTGGGCCTTCTTCACGCCGTCCTTCGCACGCACCCTTGATCCTGGCGACCTGCCAAGCTTGAAGACAGTCTGCATGGGCGGCGAGGCCATGACCGTCGACAACATCGAGACCTGGGCTAGTCGCGTCCAACTTATCAACGCCTATGGGCCCTGCGAGGGTAGCGTATGTACTGTAACTCGAATGAGTAACATGGAGTTCCTTGTGGGTGACAGTATTGGCCATGGTCTAAATTGTCATGTCTGGATCGTGGATCCCGATACCCACGAAAGACTGCTTCCCATTGGAAGCATTGGTGAGATCCTGATCGATGGACCCAGTGTTGCTCGCGGATATCTAGGGGATCCGGAGAAAACTAGCAAGTCGTTCATCGCCGACCCATCGTGGACGAGTAATTTCAATTTTGGAGAAGAATCAAGGAGGATGTACAAGACTGGAGATCTTGGCAGATTCAACTCAGATGGGTCAGTTTCATACCTCGGACGCAAAGATACCCAGATCAAGCTTCGCGGTCAAAGAATTGAGCTGGGAGAGATCGAACATCGGCTCATCGACATCCTCCCAGCTGGCTCTCTTGTAGCCGTTGATGTCTTGTCTCTTTCGAGATCCTCCAGCAAGCATTTGGTTGCGTTTATTCAGCTTGGCGGTCTATTTGACAACTTCTCAGAGCGTAAGAACGCTGTTGATGATATGGCGAGCCAACTGAAGACGCAGCTGTTATCCGTTCTGCCTATCTACATGGTACCTACTCACTTTCAATGTCATGAGTCTCTGCCATTCGGTACGACTGGGAAGCTCGATCGGCGAAGACTCAAAGAATACGCCGCAAACTTGGATACTCCGCATGGTCTGGGTGTTGCTCCAAATGAGGGCGAATTCAGAGACTTCGATTTTGGAGGTAGCCTACTTCCTGATGAAGACATCGCCTTGTCTATCAGCAACAAGTTAGCTGAATTATTGTCGAGGAATGACCCAGAAAGAAAGCAGTTCTTGCGTGGGAGTAATTTCAACCCCTTCTACGCCGGTATGGACTCCGTCCAAGTCGTCTCACTTTCTACCTTTATTCGGAAGACCTATGGGACAAGTCTTCCGATCAAGAAGTACATGAACAGTGCAGCGACTATTCGGGATATTGCTCGGTGGATCGCTGAGGATCGCCAGGTTCCCAAACAGGACGACGGGCTCGAGCTTCTGGATGAGATCGAGAAGTATGACAAGTCGCTTCCAGCACTTCGGCCCCAAGACACAGCATGGAATGAGAATTTCAGCCCAAAAGCGATATTTTTGACAGGAGCAACTGGGTTCCTCGGAAATCAGCTTCTCTGCCAGCTCTTAGAGCGTCCAGGAGTGTCCAAGGTCGTCACTTTGGTGAGAGGTTCAACAGCTGCGCATGCTACCGAAAGACTTTTCTCGCTTGCGCGTGGCAGTAGCTGGTGGCGCGAGGCATATACTTGCCGCATCGAAGTTTGGCACGGTGATCTCTCTCTCCCACACCTTGGCCTAGAAGACACGCAATGGTCTCGACTGGACGGATCAGGTACTGAGGATGACTTGATCGACGCTGTGGTTCATAACGGTGCAGTTGTCAACTGGATGGCGGATTACCATGCCCTGGTACCTGCAAACACGCTATCCACCGTTCAACTCCTCACTGCCGTCGCGAGGGCGTGCGCCAGCCGACCGGTGCGCTTTACTTATGTCTCGGGAGGCCATCTCTCAACTTCCCCTGACAATGTTAACGAAGTTGCAGAGGAGCTAAAGTCGTACCCAGCATACAGCCAGACGAAGTTTGTCTCTGAGATTCTCGTGGCGCGTTTTGCTCAGCGTCTCGCTCGAGCCGGCCATGGGTCTCTTGTTTCCATTGTGAAGCCAGGTCTGATTATGGGTAATTCCTCTGATGGTATCTCCAATACAGACGACTTCCTCTGGCGTGTGACAGCCAGCGCCCTTGACATTGGTCTTCGTGTTGACGAGGAACCCGGCTCGTGGATAGCTGCGGCCGGTGTTGACCTGGTTGCGAAGATTATCCTGGACAGCTGTCTACTCCAACCCGCCGACTGTGGCGCCAGCGTCTCCAAAAAGATCTTGAGCGGCGTCAGTCTGGGCGACTACTGGAAAATCGTTACCGAAGAGACTGGACGTGTCACAGAACCGTCAGACGCAAAGAACTGGTTGGGCGCCCTACAGTGTGAGGTTGAGGGCAAGGGGCCGGGTCACAGAATGTGGCCGGTGATGCACTTCGTCGAGGATAAAGGAGGCATTCTTGGCCAGCCTTTAGGTGCAATGACGGCTGAAGATCAAGCCGAACATCAAGCTGTTGTTCGGAAAGCTTTGCGAAAGAGCTTGCAATATCTTGTGGCCATTGGGTACATGAGCATCAGCCGAACGAACAGCGAGAACGGCGACAATGCCAGTGAGTCCGGCCTTGTGGTTTCTGGGTCCCTAGTCTTTTCGCGGACTCCGACGACCCCGATCTGGAATCAGACGACTGATCCAAAGCGTCTTGGGTATGGAGATCACAGTGAACAAAAGTTGGAACTGCCGGTAACAGATGCGCCGCGGTCTCCGAGTCCCTTGTGCGACAGCATAAGGGGGAGATGAAGGGATTCTTGAAATCTGACGAAGGAAATAGGGAGGGAAAATCTGGCAAATTTGGACTCTTGGCTCTTGTATCGAATTTCTTTCTGACGTGTATGCACTTTCTTCACAGGGGTAATTGTATGTACTGGCCTGCAGATAATTGATTGACTGTTCTGTGAAGTCGCACCAATGAATCTCCCGCACCTCGTCTGAATCAGTGGCGCCCGCAATAGCCCGCGATCTGAGCGGGCATGTGTGCCAACAACCAAGTCATGACTTCGGCGAAGAAATCCTCACGAAGCAAGTTTAGTCGACTTATTGCTAGTTTCGGGGGAGCCTCCCCCACGCAAATGGTGACGTGGATATGCCCAGTCCTACAAAAACAAGCTCATAATCTATCAAACTTTCGATCGAAGTTCCTCTGTGTTCATAATGCTGAACTATGACAGGGATCCCATGAAAGTTTCGGTAACGAAAGATCTTCCGTCAAGCCGGCGAACAGAACTTCAATCCAAGACGTCGGCTCAATATCACCTCAGTTAGTAGCTCTCCTGCGGCTTAAGTCTTGGCATGTAAGCAAATGCCAGCTTTGGTCTATCCAAGATATCCGCTGCGAGTCCTGCTCATTTGAGACGTCATTTTATCGGTAGAGACTGATTACGATCCACTCGGAACATGAGACGGTGATAGAGTCGCCGAGTCATGATTTGGAGATCCTTTCCCACATGTTGGTCCCATAGTCGACTTGCCCCGTGGCCAGATGGGGTGGTATTGATCAGACAAACACCGGCACCACGGTCGCGGTTTCTGATGTTTGAGACGTCAGAGTCAAATGAAAAGGCGATCGCGGATGAACTGCTCAGCACGTTGTTAGCAAATTGATGGGCAGATTTTACATGAAACGGAGTGCGTCGACAGATTGGGCGAATATCAGACCAAATGTCCCCACAGAGCCGCCAAGACCGTACTTTATTCTTTACAATCTAATAGACTTTCGAACCTGATTACTAGGGCATAGCGTCGAGATGCAAATCCGCAAATCACTCTGACTCCTGACATGGTTTGCAAATATTCGGGTTTTCGTATGAGGAAATAGTCGGTACCGAAGTTATACGTATGCATGGCGAGGTCCAAGGCTTGGTGGCGAGACCAAGCTGGGCGGACTCACAGTTGAGAATATAAGAAGCTGTCTGAGATCGCACCACAGCAAGAAATCACCTCAACAACTCTCGGACAAACTACTTCAAACTTCTCTTGCAACTACCCCAAGAAAATCTCCTCGTTCATCTTACCACCGCAATCATGCAGCTCAGCTTCTTTGCCGTTCTCGCCGCTGTGTCACTCGCCATGGCCGCCCCCAACCCTGTTCCTCAGGCGTCTTGCAGTCTTGCCAAAGTTAATGAGTGCATTAAGCAGGTACGTGAACCACGATCTCGCTGATGGCATGGTTCAATTGCTAACGTTTTGCCTTGATAGTGCGGAACCAGACAATACGACTGCTTCGACGACACCTGCTATTGCGCTTAGGAGGCCAGGCGAGCCACCAATCCGTCATCTCTTTCGTGTAAAAGGCTTTGGATTTAAGTGTACATACTCCTTTACTACTGCGGCTAAAAGAAATGCTGCATATGAAGCGGCCAATCTTCTCTATTTCTTACATGTGATGCCCTCCCCTGACTTTGACAATTCACAACTTACTCTTCTCAGAGATGAGAGAGTAAGACTTGGGCAATGACTCCAACAGATCCTTATCAATCTCATCAACGCTCTTTACCCCAGCAACGTTCATCAAGATATCCAGATCAGCCAACAGCCCCCTTAGCACATGTCTCACCCCATGCTCTCCCATAATGCTCAGCCCCCAAATCCAGAGCCGTCCGATGAAGACGAACTTGGCTCCCAAAGCAAGTGCTTTGACAATGTCCGCCCCACCCCTCACTCCGCTATCAAACGTGACAACAATCCGATCACCCACCTTCTCCGCAATCTTCTCGAGCGCATCAAGACTGGCAATGGCGCCGTCAACCTGGCGTCCGGCATGGTTGCTCACGACAATGCCCTCGAATCCGAGATCAGCAGCCTTCTCCGCGTCGTCGACCCTCTGGATGCCCTTGATGAGGAACGGCTTGCCCCCGCTGATCTCCTGCCACTTCTCCCTGGCCCACACGGCCTTCTCCCAGCTCCATGCCCGACCGTGCCAGACATTGTCGATCCAGAACGCAGCGGCCTGCTCGGGTTGGGTCTTTGGATCAATACCCTTCTCGGCAAGTCGTTTCTGGAAGACAGGGTCTGCGAGGCCCAGGTCCGCGCCGATGCCGCGGTAGAAGGCATAGTTTGATGTGGCGACATCGTCATGCCGCCAGCCGAGCTGCCAGGTGTCCGTCGTGAGAATACAGGCTGTGAAGCCGCTCTCATGCGCTCTCTTCAGCAACGAAACTGTCAGCTCATCATCGTGTGGCATGTATAGCTGAAAGAACCGTGGCCCCTGTGGAATCTTTGACTTGTCCGCCGACTGTGCGTTGATCGCAGACTCGCGCCCTGCATCATTCGCCTGCGCGACTTCCTCGATGGTGCAGGATCCCGCCGTTGACAGGCTATACGGGATCCCCAGTTCGCCTGCAACTTTGGCAACGGGGACTTCGCCCTGGGGGTGGTAGATCTTGTTGATGCCTACGGGAGCGATTCCGAACGGGGCAGAGACCTCATGGCCAAATATCTTGGTGCGCGTGGAGCGCTCGTTGGTGTCGACCAGCTGACGAGGCACGATCTTGTGCCGGAAGAAGGCCTGGCGGTTTGCGAGATGGGTATGAGAGAGCCCTGCGTTTGATGAGGCATAGAACCTTGTGTTGTTAGATCATATCATTCAGCATAGGAAGGGAGTGAGATGTACCAGCCGTTCTGGGTCAACTTCTTCTGTGCAAGTTCTTCCAACTTGTCAGGATCTAGGCGATGTTAGCTTGTGTAATCAATCGCGCGTCTACAAACTTACGGGTATTGAAAAGAGGAACCTCGTCGTCGTTCAACTTCCAGAAGTTCTCGCGCTGGTACAATCCCCATGATGGCGTGTCGCGGTTCTTGATATGAGGAGAGTTGGGGTCCGACATGACGACGACTTTGATATTATCAAACTCGTACTTCGCGACTATTCGACTTTCGAAAGCTTGGGGAGTAACGACCCGCCTGTTTTAATACCGGCTTTAACATCGTAATATGAGAACAGTTCACCTCTCGAACCAGTGTCCGGCAATCATCAAGGTCAGGGGTCATGACGTAACCTGTAGCTCATGATCCGAACTACGCCATGGTTCCACAGAACCGGCCGTCTGTGCCGACATTTGGGATAAGCTTCGCGGCTCAACGGAACTTGCAATTCCAGAATCGTTCTAGAATTATTCTATTGTGTTTGGAGTACAAGTTCGGATCGGTCAAAGAGTAATGCACGCAATCCCGCCATCGATTGAGACAGCCCTAGGACGAAATAGGGTTCACACAGTAGCTGCAGATTCCTCATTCCCGTATGACAAATAGTCCGATCTGCGAATGGTTTCACTAATCATCGGCTTGTGATTATACTAGCATCATAATTCATTTGACAATAGGCTAACAGCAAGCAGCTCAACTAATACACTTGACAAGAGGCATTCTGATCTGCCAACATACATCCAAGTAAAGGAGGTAGTGACAGGAAGGAAAAGGTCATGCCGTCACAAATTAGAGGCGGGCGGTGGGTTGGATAAACTCTCCGGGCGCGTGGTAGTTGGGCACCCTCATCTCCAGGGCGGCGCCAGAGTAGCCAAGATCCTCGGCGACGAGCGTTGCAGCCTTCTCACCGATGAGCAGAGCGGTCGAGTAGGTGTTGCAGCCGACGTTGTCGGGGCAGATGGAAAGATCGGCGACCTTGAGGCCCTTGACGCCGTGAACGTTCAGGCGCTCGTCCAGAACACCGTGCTTGACGATGCTGTTGCCCTCTCTGGGGGCCATGGAACAGGTCTACATCCCACGTCAGCTTCCGTGAATCTGTGCGAAGAACCATTGTACTTACTCCGAGGCTGTGCCAGGTGGTCTCAACGTGGCGCTTCACCCATTCCTCGACAGCCTTGATGTCGTCATCGCTGTACTTCAAGTCGTCGCGAAGTTCAACGCGGTTGCTAGACACGGTCTTCTTGATTTCACTCTTCCGGTCTGCCTCATTGAGGGGCTGGGTCCAACTGCCGTGCTGGATACCCGCGGACAGGTTACCAGCAAGGGCGTACTGGTTGGTGGTTGGCAGGTCCAGATCCCTGGCGCGGGCAGAGGAGTCGTACGCGAAGAAGGGGTGCATGTTGGCGACCTCTCCAGCGTATGCGTCCATGCGGCGAGCAGTCTCACGAGACTTGATGTAACCCCAGACCATGGGAACCATGTCGCGCTCATCGTTCATGAAGCCGGCGTCGAAGTCGGGGGCGTCGTACGGGTTGGGCGAGGTGATATGGGTAGATCCACGAGAGAAGGGATACTCGAGGAAGTGGAACATGGTGAAGAACTTGCCAGGGGGCCTGTGGTCTTGTCAGTATGGGAAGTCTTTGGGCTGATTATGCAACTTACATGACCATGTGGTCACCGAACCAACCAGCAATGACCGAGTAGTGCATCACTGGCTTGTCAGGCTTGTTCTCAAAGTACGACTTCCAGCCATCCTTGAAGTGCGGGGTAGGCCATCTCTCGAACTCCTTCAGCTCCTCGGCAGTCGGCCGGATCTTGACGCCGGCGTCGATACCGTTGGTGGCGAGGGGGCCAGTTCCCTTGATGTTCCATTCATCGAAGACACCTGGCACGCGGTGAGTATACATGTGGGAAAAAGTGATTGACTTCACTTACGCTTCTGGACCTCAGGATCGCCACGAACAAAGTCGTCAAAACTCTCGACGCCAGGCTTTGCGCGGTAGACGGAGAATGTAAGGTAGTGGTCCTGGAAGTTCAGACCGACTCCGGGGAGGTCGACGATGGGCTCGACGCCAGCTGCGCGAAGCTTCTTAGGGTCGCCAACACCCGAGCGCTGGAGGATTAGCGGAGAGGACAACGTGCCACCCGACACGACGATCTGCTTGCGAGCTTTGAAGGTGCGTCCCTTGAGCTCATTAGGGTGAAGAGGCTTCGTCGGGCTAGTTTCTGTCAGTCTTGTTCGAGTGGCCTGAAGATTCTGTCACTCACATGGTCTTGACGCCGACGGCTCGGCCGTTCTCAATGATGACCTTGTCAACCTTAGTGTTGCAGGCAAGGTATAAGTTGGAGTGGACGGCACGGGTCGCATGAATGTACGCGTGGGCACTGTCGCTGCGGCGGCCCGTCTGTAGTATATTGAGTCAGTTGTTTGATCTGGAACGCGAGAACGGGAATAAGCTCACGTCTCGGTTAATCCACTTGAGCCAGTGCTCAGCTCCGTGACCCGTTGACAGATCCTGCAGATCATCGACGGTAGGGATGCCCTGCGATTCCGCAGCGCGGAGGAAGTCTTCCTTAATTGGGTAGGTGCTGCAAGCAATTGTAAGTTTTCGATGTATTTATAATTGAACCCTGCGGTTAGGCTGAACCTACTAATTGCCGAAGGAAACCTTGATTGGGCCCTCGAATCCGTGCAGATCTCTGTCACATGGTTAGTTGAACAGAGTTTGCGAGAGTCCAACCGATCACGCGTGCGCTTACCGGTTGTGAGAGGCTCGCTGATATGTCTCGTGCTTCTTCATAAGTGGAAGCAGCTCCTTCGTAGACCATCCCTTGGCCTGGAAGTCATCGTAGTCAGAAGCCGACGCTCGGGTGTACATCTGGTGGTCTTGTTAGTTGTGCCACCCCTGCACTGCACAGAGACTGCGTTTACCATAAAGTTGATCGAGGAACCTCCGCCCAAAATGTTGGCGCAGGGCACGATGGCGGATCGACCGGCCAGATGTTTCGAAGGTCGTGACTCATAAAACGTGGCAGTCTTGGAGTCCAACTTCATGTTCCGGGGGTAGATACCCGGGCGGAAGACCCATGGGTTGTTGAGATTATTCTCACCGCCCTCAATAAGGAGGACGGTGAGGTTATGGTCCAAGTTGGCCAACCTGTCTGTGTGTTAGTCTTCTTCTGGAAGCATTCTTTCTGGAGGGATGGGACTAACCGTCCAGCCACAACACATCCTGTGCTGCCACCACCACACACAATGATATCAAACTCGTCGGGAAGAGCGCCGCTCATGGTGACGTTGTCAACGACGGGGAATCAAAACAAAGTATTCAAATATCTGGCTTGAAGATGAGCAGCAATTGTCAAAGCGGCATGAACACCGTGTCAGGTCAACTGCAACACTGCTAATGCGCTCGCTGAGATGAAGTGTTCTAGACGAGTTCGATCCCGCCGGTCGGGACGGTCGTTAAATAGATGGGAGGACAGCTGCGCTTAAGGCCATCTCTGGAAGTCTTCCCCGCCGTTTGGTCTGGGCAGGATGGTTCTCGACCCCGACTTTACTCCAGACCCTCCAGGATCTCAGACCCAAGATCCGGCAGGGAGGGAGAAGATGAGGGGAAGCCATGGAGCATCCCTTCAGGATTCGCGAGGTTCTGGGGTCTGATTTGGTCCAAAGCATGCAGCGTCCGTGTCATCCGGTGTTGTTTGGTCGTGACCTATCATCGACGCGCGTCTGTGAAGTGTATCACCCAAAGCCAATGCATGGCAGCATGGCTGTGCCTCGATCAACACGCTTCCTAGCTTCCCCGCACGCCCTCGAAGCTGCAAGACGGGCAGCTTTCATGCGGCAAATTTACGCCGTTGGCACATATTGGACAGCAACGAGAATGAGGAGATCAAGAAGCCCACTGCCGGTTCTCCCAGCTTGCATGCTTCCGCAAGTCCGAGAGTGGCTTTGTCCGGTGCCACTCTAGCTAACACGCCCATTGCAATTGCACATTGCTGATGACGATCATATCGTAGACGTTTGCCTCGTAAGTAAGGCGGTCGCCAAGAACCTCACAACGCCCCCAATGTTTCCTGCTACATTGAGCCGCACGGAAAACCCTGCATCAAAAATGCGCCGTGTGCCGTTTTGGGAGCTCCAGCCTGTCTCAAGCCGCGAGCTTCACGCCCAAGGAGACTTAACGCAGAGGATAGCTCAGGGCCACTCCACATCGGAGCTCACTTCAGTTGCCCAATACCCGTTCTTTTGGTTGAGGTGCATACCCTTTCCCCTCACCGGCCTGGCGCCGGCCTCACACTGGACCCGACGTTGCCGCATGGACATTATCCGGGGATAGGTTGACTGCCGCCCCCCGCGTTCTGCACCCCGCAATTCAAAGTCCGGGGTAGGAATGGGGGCCGTCTAGCTCGTTGGTCTGCTCCTCCAACCCCCCAACCGCGTTTCTGCAAGCCAAGTCCCTACCCTCAGCTCGAGAATGAGGAGAAGGTAGGTTCAAGAACAGGAAAAGACGAGTCAGGAGATCCTGACGTCAAGCTCACTCACCGAAATATCCCCGAATCGTTGGTCGCAGAGTTGAAGTCTAAGCTTGCTGTGCCGAATCTTGGCTAGATCGTGGCTCTCCATTGGAGGCTTTTCGACACGCCCAGCCGCTTCTCCACCTCCCTCCAACGTTCCGGGCATTGTTTGTGTTCATGTCAGACAAGTTGAGGCAATCAAAATAGCTGCGCGCGCCGAAGTGTTGCAGGACAACGAATCGTTGCTGCAGCTATGTCGCCGACTTCCCATTATAATGCAGGAAGCTGCATGCAAACTCCACCACACTGCGTGGTGATGCCCCTCGAGGTTACCCACTGATGGTGGGGGGCTTTCCGCCATTCGGAGCACGTTCCCGGGAGAGCTTGTGACTGCTGAGCGTTTCGAACATCCAGCCAACGTAGCATCGATCCCCCGGGCATCCGTACATATTCTCTGCATCGTCCAAAGAGCCCCCAAACGGTGCTGAGCCCAGGCGTCTGGTCCCCTGCGTAGTGTTCCTCACTCGTTTCTCCAAATTCTTCAACCGAGAAGGGGTGTTCACGGCAAATGAAGCTTCCCATGGGCTGCTCCGTCCCAAAGCTTGGCCGAGGTTCGTGTCGTATTTGGCATACCAGAAGTTGAGACAACCCAATATCGGACCCGATCGATACCCTTTTCATGTCACGAGACCGTTTAAGGTTTCGCACAAACATCAGGCTCACGGAGAGAAGTACGACGGTGCTGATGAAGACCATGTACCGCAGCTAGTCGTTGTAACCCTCGTGAACGGTGGAGCATACGGCAATCCTCTCCTCCGGGGCAAAGGCTCGACGAATTGGACCAAGTTGGAAATGGCTTGCATTTCTGCGGGGGTAAGGTATGTCGGTAATGAGACAGCGAGGTGTGTCGTGGAGAGCAGCCTCTGTGTAAACGAATCAGTCCCAGTTCCAATGTGAGACGACATGTTCAACGAAGAAACAACACCTCCCACGGCCAAGCCAATGGTTACCCCCAATTTTTCAGGTCTGTGCCGTGGCGCCCAGCGAACTGGCCTTGATGATTCGCCATGAACTTGCATGACAGCTGCGAAGTGATGCATATCTAGGCCCGCCCAGTCAACGAGGAGACACACAAGAGATGTGTCACAAAGGCGGTATCAAAGCCAAATCCAACCGTTGCACCCGAAGCTCAGGAAGCGCCTTGTCATTGGACTCGTGGATGATGGTATTGCTGAGAAGTTACATGGCTGTGCCGAAGACAAAGATGCGGATTATCTGCTCGCCGTCCAGAGCGCCAGTGGCAGCTGTTGCAGAGGAAGATCTCTGGACGGCAAGTGAGGGGTCGAGTCCATCTAGGGCCTGGAAACCGTACAAAGGGCGATCAAGGCTTTCATCGAGGGAGAACCTATGCACGATTCCAAGAACATATGAGCTGTGCCCCCGCAGTGCAGCAAAATTGGAGAACAGGCTCACAATAGCTGGACATTGTGTCGATCGCACATCCGTCACAATGCAAATACGGGCTGCTGTGGGTACAGGGCCTCGCCGACGACGGGTTGGCATGCAGGGAGGGCCAAAACGAGGACGCCGTCGACCCCAGCCATAGAACTGTCCATCTGCCGCGCAACGGATATCTTGAGCCGGCCTCGAGTGACCAACAATAGCTTTGTTGTGAACTGGACGGGCCACGGAGGTCTTGGTCAGCTTGTCCCGCATGCTTGGCTGACGTGCCCCGCGTCCGGTGCTCGGAAACCCCATCGGCCTGCAGAGGGCACATCCGGCTGTGGCGGCTGATGCCATACTAGCTGAGCTGAGTTGCGGAAACTTTAGGACTGGTCATGGCATTGCGAAAATGTGATTAACATACCTGCGCAATCATAAATGCATTTCTAGCTTGCACGAGCGCAGTCGCTTCTGAGAGTTGGCCCCGAAACTGAATTACCCACGACAGGATGGAATAGAACCAGCTCAGCAACCTTTCCGCGTACCAACATAAGCAGAGTTACGCCTTACCACAGAGACCACGGGGCCTACGTTGAAGACCGAGATGCGTGCTGCCATTTGGAATATAGGATGGCAGCGCCACGTTTCTGACAATCAGACCGTGGACGAGAACAAGCTGCAATCCATATGCCAACCGGGACTTGTAGTCAACGTCGGAAAGTCGCGTGATGTGGTCAAAACTGGGCCACTCTGGGCGATGATGGCGAAGAAACTGGGGTTGGTGTAAGTCAGTGATGCACAGAGAACGCAGGAGTAGGTTGCTGCAAGTTGATGCCTCACCTGGAAGCAGCTCTGTAGATGTAGCAGAAGGACTATGTCCTCGTGAACATGTAAACTTCACCGTCCAACACTCGACATTCAACTCAGGACGGGCCTGAAGAACCGCAAAATGACGGAGGGCCGCCATGGTGTGATGAATAGGAAGCAACGCGCTCGTGTCGCTCCAAGGACGATATGATGAACTAGGTGATTTGGAGAGAGTGGGTGATGGTGCAGTATATCTGTAGCGGCCTCTGAAGCGGAATTTGGACGGCCTTTGCATCGGGCTTTGGATCATTTGATGTGGTATGATGGGTGCAGCCGAGGTCTCTGTCGACGCACCCATCGACGCATGAGCATGCTCCTTGACGTAGATCTGGGCATTTACTGCAACGACACATGTCTACTGAAAGTCAAAAGATTCTTGCGTCAAATGTGGTGTGCACCATCGTACGTTGGATGGCTGGCTGTAAGGGCGGAATAAGTAGGAGTGGACGAGAAGATGCCGTTAGGGATGGCTGCTTTTCCCGGGAAAGACTTGCCAGGCTCTTCTGCCGATTGCCTCTTCACCCAGGAGGAGCCGATTTTGGCTTGTATAGCAGTCGCAAAGCTTGCCAGCTTTCAATCCAGCCGCGAGGTTCATGTCTGGCTCACTTGAGGCTCAAAACCTGCGCAAGCTCCGGGTAAGTACGGGGAGCATGGTGGATTGCTTCCTTCCATCAGAGCCCAAGCTCTTCCCATTTCGGGATGCTGATGAGTTATGCAATCATTTGGTCACGTGTAATAGGATGAGTAAGAGCTCATGTCTTCCATCACGTGACCCGTCCGGTAGCCAGGTGCAGCTTGTCAAGGCCGGCTTCCTCTTCCCTCCTTCCCCGTGTTCTCAGACTTGCATTGCGAGCTGAGGGCAGGCAAGTCCGAGCATCCGCTCCCGTCCGCCCCGGTGCGGTGGGCTGAAGAAGCCAGAATTAGCGCTACCTACCTAGCAAAAGCAATGCCATGTTGTGCGAATACCGTGTCTTCGCAGCGGTGCATTGGATCGTGGTTGTGCATCTGCACGAAGAACAGCAGAACAAGAAGAAGACAGCCTGGATTGAGCGAATAGCAGGACAGAACGGCCTTCATGATCTGGGGTTTCACACAGTGAGATGTCGAGGGAGATCTCCCTGCTGTTTAATTTGATGTTCCTCAAACACAGTGCAGCTCCCTCACGATGGATGGGAACCCCTTGCTCACGTGCCGGCGCTGTAACGGATCGACGCAGGGCACCCGTCTCTTCGGTTCTCGTCGACTGCAGCAGTCTGCAGGAGGGCAGGCTTGTTGCATTATCTTGTCGGGTTGCTGCTACGGGGCTGCCGAGGGGACGGTCAGGGCTGTTTGACAATCAGCCGCCGGATTGACGAGGAAAAGGCTGAATTGGGTCAACGGCCGATGGGGCATTGGGCTGGATTTTGGGGTCTGCTGCTTGGTTCCAACGCTGTATCCCCAACTGATGGGTTTCGGCCGGT